TTACCCATATTTGTCTCAGAAGACCATCACAATGACCCTAATAGCACATACTATAATACACATACATCCTATTCTCTATTCCTAGAGAAAGGCTAGACATCCCTCAACTGGCTCGCTGACCCCACATAACTCATCCATGAAACTTCCATTAACCTTGAAGCGCTCGTGTATGCTAATCATACATAACTCTGGATCCTATAGATAGTCGAATACCTGATTCTACCCTAAACCTTTCATCAAACAAGAACATGAAATAAGGCTAAACCAAGCATTCTCAGGCTATAGAGTCTTAGTTATGTACAAATATGATGCATACACTATGCAACTATTGTAATGATGTCAATTTCATACCAGAAATAAGCCCTAGGCTATCAGGCATCATATGTCAGGCAATTCTATCATGCAATTCCTGAAGATCCTTAGCCTATCACTAGCATGTTATTCTAACATAAACATAAAATCAATAATAGTGTGGTAATTTGGGGTATACTTACTGGCTCCGACTGATCGTGCACATCACATCCTTCTTGGGTTACTTTTGAAAATCATTTTTAAAACTTTTGCAGTCCATTAGTTTGAGCCTGAATTCACACGAGTGCTCCTCCAATTCGCTTAAACCAAGGCTCTGATACCAACTTGTAACACTCCAAAATCATAACAAATTTAAACTTTTCAAAACAATCCATTTACTAAAAAGAAGTGTTTACAAAACCATTGTTTCTAAAATATTATTTAAAATCAAAGTCTCCCAAGATCTAATCAACATAAAATGAGGATGTATATGGTCACGCCTTCACCTTGCCACAATCCGCAGAAGTACCTGAAATAAAAATAAAACTATAAGCCAATGCTTAGTGAGTTCCCCTAAAGTACCAACACACCACATAACAAGCAAACATGCAATCATGAGCAGCCAACCTGACTAAACTGCCTCGCAGGGCCTACTGCTAATCTAGTCATCCCTAGGTATCTTGGCCTACAACACAAAGCTGGACCGCCTCAACCCAAACCAACATGTTGTCAAATGCAACAAATAAACATGAACTCAAAGCTTCCAAATACAAATAATCATACGGAACTAATGATTCACAATATCATAAAAACATCTTATATACCAGGATACAAATCTAACAGATCACTGTAGCATAAAAACATACGATAACCAGGATATCAATCCAATGGGTCAGCCTTGGTGCCTTCGACCTATAAGTACAGTGAGGAACACTCACCTTACAGTCTGAATGCAGTCTGAATAACTCCAAGCTTCGACAATCGGCTCAACCCAAATCCTAAGTGTCAACACATTTCCCATTCTAAATTAATAGCATTTTCCCAAAATAGCCTTGGTCAAAACTGGTCAAAATCAACAACTCAAGTGAGTCAACCCATTCGAGTCAACCCAGCCGAGTCAACTCAGCCAAGTCAACTCAGGGCTCGTACGCGGGGCGTACTCCAAAGGTATGCCGGGCGTACTCGATCTTTGAACTCGTATGTACGTCGTATGCTGAGTTACGCATGATGTACGCTCAGAAACCCCTATTCTCAATAAGAGCTTAATGCATTAAGCTCTCATGTCCAACTTTCAGATCCAAGGCCAAAATACCAACAAGAGTTGTAAGGTTTCCAACTTTATAACTTTGCATGTCCATTAAGTGCTTAATACGCTAAATCATAACTTATTAATGCCTTAAGACCTTCTAGAGCATGCATGGAAAATAACTAAGAATCAAGACCACATTTTTATGACTCAAGACCCCTCATAAGGTCTGAAAGGATGACTTTTTTGGTTAATAGCATGTCATGCTCAAGAATCACCATATTTGGGACCAAAAGTTCCCCAAATGAAGAAGACTAGATCTAAAAGATAGAGTGATCAAGTTATGAACTTTTTACCTTTTGGATGTAGCAAACAAGTGAAGAATCCCAAATCTAAATTGTTTCCAAGTTTTAAGGTCCTTGTACCTCTTCTTCTTTTTCAAGAACACCAACAAAGCACACAAAATGAGCTCAACATCACTCTTTTCACTTAAGGTTTGTTAGAGGGTCGAATTCTCAGTTGGAGGCTGATGAGGGAATGATAAATGAGGTTATAATGATGCTTATATATGGACCAAACCCTAAAAATTAGGGTTTGAGGTTTCATTACGTACGACCGTACCTGGTGTACGCCCAACATACTAGGGTCTGCCCAAGTACGCCTAGCATACATAACGTATGCTCAGCGTACTACCTCCTGGCCAAAATTACCAAAATGACATTGTGGAACATTTTTCATGGCCAAGGACTATAATGCAAATTTTATTCATGCTTAGGGTTAAAATTGAAATTGAAATTACCTCATCATCGGGATGTTACAACCCATAACTCAAATAGGTGACTTGTTGTCCTACGCCATGTATAGGTGACTACTTACGCCCCATGTAAGACCAATTTTCCCAAAATAAAATTAAGGCTTTAATAATAATATAGGAAATGTACCCGAGGAGACGGATGTTACATAAATTTAGGATTTTACATGTTTGGTTCGATTGACCATTGTTAATTGGATTAGATAGATTGTCAATATTTAATCTAATAAATGGTTAGCCTGATTGAACCAGTTCTATAAAAAGCATTGTATATCGAACTATGAACACCGTTGGGTTGATTTTTTTGCTATTTGTACTTTGTTGTCTTAAGTTCATATTAAAAGCAATAACATCTTGTTTTGTTGTACTTAAGCTCAAGTTCTATAGCCTTAAACATGTTTTGTGTAAATTGGAAAATCGGTAGTAGAATGAAATTGGTATCGAAGTATCTATACCACATAGTACCTATGGGTTTGGTACTTGGTTCCCACAAAATACAAGTTTTAATTACAATACTTTTGTATTCGGTAGCGGTTCGATGTGATTCTAGTATTGAGTTAACGCTAAAGCATGGTCACCTGATAAATCTATCAAATAATCTAAATTACTTTAAAATGTCTTATTCTTGGCAATTTGGTTCATATAGAATGTAAGGAACTTCGGGTGTTGAAAAGCAGATTTTTATCCCTTCCACAAATATGGCAGGTAAGAATCAAGCCGACTCATACTTATAGATAAAATTTAAAACTAAACGTCATAATTTAGAGGGATAATGACTTTAAAGGGTAATATATTTTTCAATTTGTATTCATTTGGTCACTGAGTTTTTTTGTCTGCATTTAACCCTTCAACCTATTAAAATTGCACACATTCAATCATTATGATCGGCTACTCCAGGTAAGCCGATAAAAATGAATTAATATGATAATATATTTCTCACTTTGTACACATTTAATCCTTCATTTTTTTTTTTTTGCACATTTAGTCTTTAATAGTTTTTTTTATTGCAAAATAAGTATTTGTTGTTTTTGTACACATTCAATATGTTTGTTTAGGTTTTTCTCAAGGCATCGTATATAGAACAATCATTAATAAGGTGTTCGAGGATGTTGATGTTTTTGGTCACCGCGCCCTCGGCTGCTTGGTTGCTTTGGTCTTATAGTTAGGCTTAGATCTTGTGTTCTTGACGTCGTAACTTCTTAATATGGTCTCGAATTTTAAAAATCCATATATACACACGTTCTTATTTGATTTTACTACAACTTTCATTTAGATTACTACCGTTAAAAAGTAATATATTTTTACTTACGATTTTATAAAAAAAACGTTTATATTTACATTCATAAAGAATGAATGTATATAAAGATCGTAAGTGTGTGTGTATATATATATATATATATATATATATATATATATATATATATATATATATATATATTAGTTTTTAAGAGGAGTAATCTAAAACAAAAGTTGTAATAGCCCCAAATATGAACACAAGGATATAAAGATCGTTAAAATCAGAAATCATTTGAAAAAGTTACAACGTTAAAAGCACAAGACCTAAGCAAAACCATAAGACCTAAGGTCAGACGGTATCATAGCAGGAAAGGGGAGAGGGAAGCTTCCCTCACACTGGAAGACCATCCCTTGGGTGAGGGAAGCAACCCGCTGGAAAGACGTGGGGGGAGGGGTGTTACACTCTCTCTCTCTTCATGCTATTGGGTAGTTTTTTCAATCTTTTTTTAATATTTATAAAATTATATACCTACTAAAAAATATAAAAAATATATCAAAATTCATGGTTTGTAATTCCCTACAAAATGAGTATAATATATGTATGAAATATATTTTTAAAAAAATAAAAAACATAGTGAGTGGAGCTTCTCACTCATTCATTGGGTTTTAGGTGATGGAAAGGGTTGTGTGACCCACAAAAAGTGAGGGAAACATCGCTCCTATACCCTCCAGTCTAAGTGACCAAACAAGCGAAGTCACGATGACTATAAGCACAACAACCTCGAACACCTCATTAATAATTCTCTCACATAGGATGCCGTGAGAAAAAACTAAAAAAAAACGGTCATAAGTATTGAATGTGTACGAAAACAATGACTTACTTTGCAACAAAAAATATTAAGAATTAAATGTGCACAAAATAAAAATATATTAAAGATTAAAAATGTGTACAAATTGATAAATATACTCTCTTATTAATTTATTTTTTCGGTTTATCTTGAGTAATTAGTTATAACGAATTAATATATACAATTTAAACGAGTTAAATGAATAAATATGAAAAAAAAAAAAGTTAATGAACAAATGTTAAAAATCAAAAAATATATTATTATTTTAAGTCGTGTTTAAATCAACATAAATGGTATTATTATGCTTTTTTTTTTTTTGTGTGTGTTCTCTATCTTGTTGGTGTTTCTTAAAAAAATTCTATAGTTCAAAAAGGTCTAACTTTTTGGAATACAAAAATATATATATACTATTTATCTAAAAAAAAGAAAACAATTAACATGTAAAACATTTTCTAAAAGAAATTAAGAAATAGAAGTGGTTAGTCTTGGTTTAAAAAGAAGTAGAAATATTAGAAAAGGTAAAAAGGGCCTGTCGGCATGATGTAAAAAGGGGTAAAAAAGAGGGAAAAGGGAGAATATATACTGTCGGCTGACAAATTTTTGAAGCAACATCGAAATCCACCCGATATTGACAGTTATCAGGCGCACACTTCTCTACATCAAACTACCAATCATTTCATGCATCAACTATTCCAATTACCCCACACCCTTTCTCTTTCTCATGCAATTTCTACTTCCAACTCTCTTCATTTTTTTTTCTTTGTAACATATCACCTATAATATTCGTACTTTATCAAAAGGAACTTAAAATACCAACACTTTTCGGTGGATAATTATATTACAATAACCTAATGTTATTACATATACATAACAATTATATAAAATCCTTGGATTTAATACACTTAAAAGTGAAAACTTGAATATGAGAGAGGGTTAGTGATCACTTAGTTGAAAGAAGAGAATGAATAAACAATTGAGTAGACTAAAAACTTTTACTTTTTTAGTCAATGCATCTCCATCAAAAGTTCGAACTTTTGTAATACCTAAAATTGACGAGTCTTTGGTGGATAACTTGGAGTGCAATCCCAATCTACCATCTGTAACTGCTAAAAAAAAAAACGTTCACCCGTTAAATTACATCTTCTATGTCATATTATAATGTGTAAGAAATATTTATATAGTATATGATAGAACATAAAACTGTCCCCTTTTTCTAAACTAGAAAAGGATAACTTGTAAAAGCATCATTGTACATTATCGCGCGTATATAATCCATGACAATGCACATACATATGAACTGGTTAAGCAAAACAAGAAGATGAAAATATAAGGAAAGAAAAAGAAGTAGTTAGGCAGATAACATGACAAAAGATGAGTTTTCCAAGAAGGAATCTACCCCTAGTTTAGGTCTATAGCCACATGTAAGAACACAAGCACAGATACATACAAGAATAGACTCAATTATTACTAGAGTTCAATCTAGAAAAAATAATGATTTGATCTATGTACTATCCTAGGATCATCAAAATACATCATTCTTCTAGGTTCGTACTAAATTGTTTTCTTTGAGCTTAGACTATACTTTTTAGAGTTAGAATGCAACTTTACAATTTTTAAACATAGCCATTACAAAGCTTCTTGTGCCCGCTACTACCATTAGCATGCAAGAACATTTTTTTTACCCATCCCTCCTATACTACTAAAGTCTTTTATATATATATATATATATATATATATATATATATATATATATATATATATATATATAAACTATGATTCATTTTCGACATATTAGTTACTTTGATATGCAGTAATGAAAGAAAGAATAAAATAGAGACAAAATGAAAAAACTAGATGTTTGTTTACCGTAAATGAATGAAATTTGAGGATTAATTTGGATACTTTTGATTTTATGTTTTTTATTCTAAGAGATGTGGTATGTTATTTTCAGAGGCAATGAAATACTTTTTGTTTTTATTATAATTATGCTTACTCATATAACTCAAATAATATTAATAACAATTATTATTGTTGTTTTATTTTCTAAAGGTAAATATTTTTTATGATTATATTACTTCAAGATATATCATGGTATTTTATTTGTAAACAACTTTTTGGATGAAATATAATTCATTTTTAAGTATATGAAATACATTTAATATATACTTTAAATCCTTACCTTCAGCTTATTTAAAAATATACTTTTAACTTTGGTATAGTTTATTTTTCTAAAATAGTGTTTTCTTTATTGTTTATGTTTTATTACTTTAAATTTTTATTCATACATAACAAACAATATTTTTGAGTGATTTATTATACTTTTTCTTGCAATCAACCAAGCATGACAACAAAAGAATCAGATCCATTATCTCGTGTCTTACTATTTCTTATTTCCATTCTTTTATTCTTTTATGATATCATTATCATACCAAATATACCATTATGATATATACTTTGAACATTAAAAGTAATTTCAAATATATTTTTTTAAGTGGTATAGATTTTCAATATTATAACCAAAACAAGTTATTCTTAAATAACTAATCTAGAAGTTATTGTCAAAGTATTAATAAAAATATTTTATTAAATAAAATAGTCCGTTTATAACATACATTTAGTTTAGTTTTGTTACTATGTTTTAAATTATATTAAGATATTATTAACAAGTTCAGAGCCCATAAGTTGAACTTAATTTATATATCATTAATATCATTTTTCTTATAATATTATTACAAGTAACATAGATTATAATTAAAAGTAAGACTGTTTAGACTAAAAAACACATAAAAAAAATTATATAACATAAAAAGTAAAGACACATAAACAATATAATACCAATATGATTGACGTTAATCTGTATTTATATAATAAAAGAAATCATGTTGTACGTGATATATAATTTGATGACAACGTTTAAGTACGAAATTAGTTTTGATAATGGGATTAAAATAAGAGGCACCAATAGGGTATTGGTCTTCATTTCTTCTAGAAAAGGGAATCATGTATATCTTTGAAAATGATATCCACCTTGTACTAAAAAACTATTAAATCTAGGTTCCTGACATGTGTACCCTTTTGGGGGGTAAACTAATTAACAATTCCAAAAAAAAAAAAGCATTATAAAGGGCACATCGGAAAATTGTTTAAAAAAATGGCAAGAACATTATACAAGTTTTAGGACTAGCTAACCTCACAAAAGAAGGTTTTAATATTCATGAATCATTTAACATGATGAAATTTATGTATTAATCATGACACATGGTAGATAGATAGTAACAGTTAAAAATTTAGGGGTTTAAATTATTTATGTTCATCTTTGTTTAAAAATAAATGGATAATACTATGCACAATGATTATCAATCAATTTCATAGGAGATAGGACCAGTGGACCATATTGAAGGTAGAGTAAGGACCATTTATCTTTGTGGGCTTTGAAAGGTGCATGCATCTTGGCTACTACAAGAAGTACAAGGTCTAAGAGCATCTTTAGGTGACAAAAGTGTTAAATGTTGAGTGTAAATAATTATCGACATTTGTAAAAGTTCTGGGTGTGATTTAAAGCGTATATAAATGCATGATAAATAAGAAACTAATGATATAATGCCATGCACAAGTAGAAATTATGGATGTGTACAAAAACAGTTGTATATGAGAAAATAACGAGTTTGAAGTCAAAACATGAACATAAATAAGTAGTTCAAATCATTTTAATGATTGCATTACCTCTTAAATGTTATCGTTAAGAATAAAACGACATGTCAAAAGACTTGAAACATTTCGGGACCATGTGTGTGTTTTGCACTAACTATAGTTTAACTGAGTCAAAGATGTTAGATACCACAACTATTACATATAAAAATGGCTTAGAAATTAGATTAAATATATATTTTAACAAAATAAAAACACTAAGGAAATATTTACTCGGCTGAGTAGACCATGTATAACTTCATTACTGAGCAATTATTATGTATATTGTTATGTTTACTTTAAGATGAATGTAATGCAACATTAATTAGGCAACAAATTTTACAGGATAATGCGATGCACATGTTTATAGCTAGATAGTCACATGGTTTTTTATATATTAAAAAAAACGTAATAGATTCTTTTAATCGAATGTGTTTAGGTTAGATTAGAATAGAAAAGTAATTATCAAATCATCTATCGATTATGGTTAATCTATACCATGATTTATTATTTTTATAATATTATCTTTCTGGTTAATTTTTTTAAAAGTTTTTTAGCCATTTTAATTAATTTATCATTTTTAAGAAATTAAATTATTTGATATTATATAGTTAAAAAAATTAAATCATCACTTTTATGTTATAAATTTTTTTTTAAAAAAAATGTATAATATAACCGCTATTAACATAATATTTGATATCTGGAAGTAAAACAAAGTATTATAAATTTTTTAATTACATATATTAACTGTGAAAAGAAAACAAAGATTTTGAATCGTGATATAGATAATAAGGTAAATTGATGTATTGCTAAATGATATATATAAAAAAACATAAAGTTTATTTTACAAAAACACTTCTGAATAAAATGTACTCTAGTATAAGAATTGAATAGCCTTTTCAATACTAATTAAGAACCTATAAAAACAAGAAGATACCAAATAGATTTTTTATATTTTCACCTAATTTTTACATTTCCCCTGACTCCTACGTACTGGACTCTTAATTTAATTTAAAATCAGTACCCTTTTATGAGACTATACTGCACCCCTTATCTTTTCAAAGGGTCTACCAAAGGGACCCTAAAACTTCAAGGACTAACATGTGGATTAATGCAGCATATATGTAAAAGAAACAACTCGAACAAATAAATAAATAAATAAAACTAAACTCTCCGATTTAAAAATAAGGTTTTAAATGTAATTAGCAAATTAACACGTACCTTTTATATATATAGTCAGTTGCGCATAATTGTAGGCACAATATCCCCAAGCAACCCTTGATGATCTAAACGAGAATCTTGAAATGATTCTTGATGAGGTTTTTCATCAGAATTACGATGATTAAAATCAGCTTCATTAGATTCTACTTTTGGTTGTAATTTAGAGGCACCAAGATTTGGCAATGGTGTTCTTGGATATATAACTTGGTGTGTAGTTGAATGATGAGAAGCCAACAATCTTGAATATGCATTTTCGTGATTTAATAATCCTCTTGGAAACCCTACTGTGTGGTGACAATGTTGACCTTCATATGTTGTGATTACAGTTGTGGGATCTGTTGATGAACGTTCAACTCTTTTCTTCACAGTGCATTTGCTATTTGTGCATCGGTAGTAGCTCCTTCAAAACAATTGTTCAAAAAAAAAAAAAAAAAAAAAAAAAAAAAAGAGATACATTTAGAATGTAAAGCAAGCTATCTATTTTGGGAAATCATGTTGTACCTATATACACCAAAAATAGCAGTTTTAAAAACTGAACGCCTGATGAAAGAGGTAAATTAAAGATATAAAGTTTGGAAAATAAAATTTCCTCCTGTTTTATGCTTCTACTTCATCCGTAATTATTGATATGTGTAATACTAATGCACCACTTCTATTTCCTCCTCTCATTGATTTTGATAGTTGTGATCATGATCCATTAAGTAGAATTATTTAGTAAAAGTTTATATTTTGATATGATTAGAATGTATGATTTAAGAGATAATGAAATGTAATTATAATTACCTTGGAAAAGGGCTATTTTTAACAGCTTTTTGTCCATATTTTCTCCATCTGTAACCATCTTCAAGATGATCGATTTCACTCTTGGTCATGAACGCAAATCGTTGTTGCCGGATTCTTTTTGGGCCTTTCTTTTTGACTTTACCCCTGAAAAACAAAAACTTTAGGGTAAGACATGGATCATGTATTATTATAAAACGTTAAGCTCTAATTAACCATGTAACGTATTGGATTGATGTATGATATATATATACCTAATGAAATAACGAAGAAATGTATTAGCACTTGATTTGAGATTGAATGAGACATATCATTTTTGGGATTTAAAAACTCATTAATTAGAAAGTATATATGGAGAAAATTTAATTTAGTTGACGTAAAAGCATGGCAAGAAACACATTGCGAGAAGATTTAGATGCATTACATCTCGAGCAACTTTTGTGCAATTTCCTAGCTACGGGGCCATGCTTGTCAGTTCAAGTTCAGGTCACTCACAATAATCTGAAAAAGCAAAAGTTGAAGCATAAAAAATTACTCACTTTTTCTTGTTTCAAAATCGGCAAGTTAAAAAAATATATATTCGAACATAAATAAATAAATATATATGCACCGATTTTCTGGCGTTATTTTATGTGGAAAAAAGATGCCAAAAACAGCACGCCATCGCTAACGCTAGACCCACGCCATTTCCGCCGCAATAGCGGCGGAGTTCACGCTCACTAGTGGTGGAAAATAGAAAAGAAAGACCCTATAGCTTCATTTGTCTAAATATTTACAGAAATGCCATCGCAACTTGCGTGAACAGCTTTTAGTAATGGCTATCGAACAAATATGGTGGGTGCCAACGAAAATTACAAGTACGGATGACACAGAAGAATTCGTATTCCTTTAAAATAATAACTACTTTCAACTTTTTCCAAAAAACTCAGCGCTTAATCTTCTTTTCAGATAAAGTAATTGCTACATCTGAAACAAACACTCTATAAAATCGAATCTCATATGTGAAGAGATGAAGGCATTGATGGTGTATGGTAGTTTCCGCTGTATACCACTACCACTTACTCACCCTGTGTCCGAAGATGGCGGTTGGCCACCGGAAGCGGCATCACCGGAAGCTGCAGAAGACTCCGGTCGATCCTCGGAAGAGCTGGTAGAAACCAACGGATTTGAGATAGATACGTCTCTTACGTTTTCAACGGATCCAGCCTGAGAATGAACCGGAACCGGACTAGTAGTAGGATTAATCTCCTCCGGAACACCACAACTACCACCGGAATCCATCCGATCTAACACCGGTGCTGGAGGATGGAAGTTCCATCCGAACTCGCTCAATATGTTGTTGTCTCTTGTATCGGTAATCCCGAAGAAGCTGTAATCACCGGGGAGCGTCCAGGTAGAGTCTCCGGAGAGTGGATCGATACTGTTGTCATCATCCATATATTGATTCCGATGAAGAAGAGGGGATTTGAAGAAGCTTTTAGCGAGAGAATTTAGGGTTTTAGGAGAGAGAGAGTGAGTAAGGATGATAACGCGTAGAAAAAAGGTTCTCTGGCTTGTGTGAAACGTCAAGTGAAATGGAGAAAAGGATAAGCTAAAAAAATTAAAAACAACCGTCGTCACGTTAAACAGTACAGGTGATGGAATTTACGCGCGTAGTTTCAACTTTAATCAGTACATACAGTAAAAACTAAAAACTAGTAAATTATTACGTTGGATCATCAAGATTGTTAACCTCCTACAGATTATTATTATTATTATGATTATTAATTTATTATTATTATTATTATTATTTTGTGTTGATTTATAGCTTTATTAAATTACTCTATTTTTATCAATCATCTAGAAGGCATGTTTAAAAAAATATAGTTATTAATTATGGGCGATTCTCATTCTAATTTGTTGTTTTTAAAGTATATTTTAACATTAGTATTAATTTTCTAAACATACTTATAAAAAAAACAATAAAATTGGTTATTCTATTTTTTATGGTCAAATATAACAGAAAAAAATTAACAGAAAGTACGATTAAATGGCATACAATAAAAATGTTATTAAATAAGAAGGAATAAAACACAAAGAAAAAAAAAAGTATTGTTGTTTATTCGAAACAAAAATTTATAGTATAAGAACAACTTCTGCAACAGAAAATGTGGATCAAATGGTTGCAACTTTTAATAAGAAACATTTTGTTTTTTAACATATGCAGATTGTTGCAGTAAACTAAAATTTTAAAAAACTAGATTTATAAACTAAAATTAATTCTCAATACCGAAATTTTAATAATTCTAGTATTAAAACATTGAAAAAAAATACTAAAACGAACATGTAAAAAAAATATATAAAATATCTAAAAAAAAGTCTAAAAAATATAAAAGAATCTATCAGTTTTATTTTAGAAAAAAAAAAACTAATTTTAAACCCATAAAAAAATAATTAAAAATAATAAAAATTAAGAAATTATTGCAAACCATATCTAACAAAAGTTCGTAAAAAAATTACACATGTTAAAAAAATACAATGAAACGGAAAATATTATTAATAAAAACAGTAAAAAAAATTACAAAAAAAAAAATCAAAGTTTTTGAAAAAAAATCAAGTTATAAAAAATTATGGAAATTATAAAATAAAATTGTATCAAATCCGTAAATCAAAGTTAAAAAAAAAAAAAATCAAAAATTAAAAAAAAAATCAATTTTAAAAAGAAAAATAAGTTATACCAAAATTCTAAAAAAAACTTGGAAAAAATGAAAGTTGAAGAGGTTTGAAAACGTAAATCAAGTATTGCGTCGCACAGAATACGCTCATATGTTTTGTAGTCTGAAATCTTCAAAAAAAATAAAACTGTTGTAATAGGGCAAGTGTTGTGTGTGTGTTGCGTGACGCAGCAAAAATTTGTCTGAAAATGTATGTTAAAAAAAAAAAAAAAAAAAAAAAAAAAAAAAAAAAAAAAACCTAAGTAATAACCTTAGTAGCCAAATTTTCTAAGACATTTTCGGAAAACAATCAAAATCAGAAAAATGACCATAATAACAATAAATTTCACCGGTCAAACCAGTTGTAACACCGAAATTTTCAAAACAATTTTTTTCAAATTTTATAAAACATAATTCACTTAATATTCATAAAACAACCATGTTTGAACATTCAACCCAAATAATACAAAAATCCCAAGATCTCAAAATCATAAATTCCATGCGTGTGTACTGATCAAGCCGACGCCTTCCCACAGTCGTCACTAGTACCTGAAACAAATAACACCAAACATTGTAAGCACAAAGCTTAGTGAGTTCCCCAAAATACCACATATAACACATATTAGCCACTCGAGGCTATAACTCTGTGGGTCCGTGCACCCAAACTCTGTGAACCCTCAGGTTCTAACTCTGTAAACATGCACAACATAAATCACAAAGAATAATGCAGCGCAACACATAACATATAAATATAGCATACAAGCACTGTATCACATAACTCTATTTACCTACTCAAGGTAAAGTATAGTGAGAAGACTCACCTCGCGTATCTCGGTAATTCGTAAATCCCTGAAATCACTAGTGCTCGATCTCCCGAGCTATAGTCCTCCTATAACACAATACATCTCTAATTAACACTTTCCCAACTAAGGTTGACTATCCCTTAACAAGTCAACATAGGTCAACACTGGTCAATGGTCAATGGTCAACTTTGACCGGACTCGGCAAAGTGCACTATAACGACTCGGCGAGTCTATACGCATACACTGATTTCTTCTGGGATCCTCACTTGACACGACGAGTATTCTCCTAACTCGACGAGTTCTACCTGGCATGAGTTGTGGGGCCTCCACGACTCAACTCGTCGAGTCTCAAGAACAACTCGGCGAGTCCCAGCTTGACTCAGTCCACCTGTCAACCTACTCTGACTCTCCCTGACTCACTGAGTCAATCCCTCAACTCGGCAAGACCACTCATTGAGTGGTGCTGGGCAATCTTCATGCTACTCGCCGAGTCTATTCTTGGGGACTCGGCGAGTCCATGCCATGCAATGACTCAAACTCACTCCTAAGGTCAGATCTATTCCACTAACTCATAGATCCAGTCCTTCGAAGCTTATCTATCACGTAAAGTTGCCATCTTGATGTACATACAACATCTATATGACCATATATGATGATTTAGCCCCAAATACCACAACTCAAGGTCATAACCTCCATTGCTCTTCATAAAGCTTGATGAGTGAGGCTCTCTCGACCTCTATGGATCCAGATCCAAAGCCTCACCACAAGAAAGGGACTATTTGGGCATCAAATCCACCCAACAAAGGCCAAAAGAAACCCTAAATCCAAATATACTTCATAAAACAGAAGATGAGCTTAAATAATACCTCAATTGCGATGATCTAAGCTTCAAATCCACAATATAGCAACCTCCTTTGCTTCCTCTTGGCTAGGACCTCCTTCTTCCTGCTAAACAAACACCACAAAGGTCAAGAATGGCTTCCTTTCTCTCTCAAAATGCTCAAGCACTCTAGGGTTTCTCTCTATGGATTGGTGAGCACAAATGACGGCCATAAGGCCCTTTAAATAGGTCTCAAACCCTGGGAATTAGGGTTTCATTACACAGCATGGACTCGCCGAGTCCACTCTTGGACTCGCCGAGTCCAGACGCGAACCCGCGTCCAAAATCACGATCCTACTCGGCGAGTTCGAGCTCCAACTCGCCGAGTCCACTCACAATTCTCCAAAAATACACCAAAAATAATACCTGGAAATTCCGGGCTGTCACAATTCTCCCCTACTAGAACTAGACTTCGCCCTCGAAGTCTCGCTCTGCAAATAACTCCGGATGCTGCTCGCGCATCTCACGCTCCGGTTCCCAAGTCATCTCGGACCCCTTTCGATGTTGCCACTGAACCAAAACCAAAGGTACCTCCTTGTTCCTCAGAACTTTGATTTTCCGATCTCTAATTGCCACTGGTCTCTCAGCATAATTCAGGCTCGCATCCACCTGACTATCCTCTAATGGAACCACTGCCGACTCATCGGCTATACACTTCCGCAATTGCGACACATGGAAAGTGTCGTGAATCTGCCCCAACTCTGCTGGAAAATCCAAACGATAGGCTACCCTGCCTACCCTCGCGACTACCCGAAATGGTCCGATATATCGGGCCCCAACTTGCCCCTCTTCCTGAATCGGATCACTCCTTTCCAAGGAGAGACCTTTAGGAGCACAAAGTTGCCGACCTGGAACTCAAGTTCGGACCGGCATCTGTCTGCATAACTCTTCTGTCGACTCTGAGCAGTCAGTAACCTCTGTCTGACCTGCTGGATGTGCTCTGTCGTCTGAAGTACGATCTCAGTGTTGCCCATACGCGTGTCCGACTTCTCCCCAGCAAATGGGGGTCCGACACCTCCTCCCATACAACAGCTCAAAGGGTGGCATACCGATGCTCGAATGATGCTGTTGTTGTAAGAAAACTCGGCCAAGGGAAATACGTATCCCAACTTCCCCCGAAATCCAATACACATGCTCGGAGCATGTCCTCGAGCGTCTGAATCGTCCGTCACTCTGTCCGTCTGTCTGGGGGTGATATGCGGTACTAAAATGCAGCTAGTACCCAGCTCCTCATGAAACTTTCCAGAATCTGGAAGTGAAACGTACATCCCGGTCTGAGACAATCGAGATCGGCACCCCATGTCGAGATACCACTTCCCTCACATACACTTCTGCTAACTTCTCTGCGGAAGAACTCTCGCTGATAGCAAGGAAGTGAGCGCTCTTCGTCAACATGTCCACAATCACCCAAATTGCATCAACTCCCCGAGCAGTCCTTGGCAATTTGGTGATAAAATCCATGGTGATCTGTTCCCACTTCCATTCAGGAACCTCCAACGGCTGCAACTTACCATGCGGTCTCTGGTGTTCGGCCTTAACCCTACGGCAGGTGAAGCACCTCTCAACAAACCACGCAACATCCCTCTTCATACAGGGCCACCAATACTCCCTCCTCAAATCCAAAATACATCTTAGTGGCCCCGGATGGATCGAGAATTTTGACCGATGAGCCTCTTCCATCAAAATGGTACGCGTTCCTCCCACAAACGGTACCCAAATACGCCCTGAAAAGTCATAAGCCCCCGACCATCAGTAACGAACTCGATACCAACCCAACAACTCGCTCTCTCTTCTGGTTTTCGACCTCACTGCCTCACCTGTGCTCTCGAATGGTGTCCAACACCGGAGTCATCACGGTCAATCGCAAACACATACATCTCGCAAC